GTGCTTAATTTTTTTCCTTTACACTGAGTATTTTTATTCCTGTCTCTCATCTGCAGGGCTGGACATGTCCTAGCCCAGACTCTATTCGTGAAGACTTGGCCTACTGCGAGCATCTACCTGACTCCCAGGAGGATATCACCTGGAGAGGTCGAGGCAGGGAAGGACTGGTCCCCCAGCGTGAAACTACCAACCCTCTGGACCTGGCTGTGATGCGACTGGCTGCCCTGGAGCAGAATGTGGAGCGGCGGTACCTACGGGAACCCCTCTGGCCTGCTCATGAGGTTGTGCTAGAGAAGGCCCTGCTCAGCATGCCCAATAGTGCCCCCCAGTGCACCACTACAGAGATGTGAGTCACTTACCCATTCTTGGTCTTGGCAAGGGATAAGTTTAGGGATCTTACTATTCATCCAAAGGTCACCACTTTCTCCCTCCAGATCATATGAGATCACCCCTCGCATTCGGGCCTGGCGCCAGACGCTTGAGCGGTGCCGGAGTGCAGCCCAGGTGTGCTTGTGCCTGGGCCAGCTGGAGAGGTCAATTGCCTGGGAGAAGTCCGTCAACAAAGTGGTAAGAGGCTGGGAGAGCCTGAGAAGGCTGGGGAGCCAGGCAGACAGAGACTTGAGGGCTTACTCTGCCTCCTCACAACCTTGGTCCAGACCTGTCTAGTGTGCCGGAAGGGTGACAACGATGAGTTTCTTCTGCTTTGTGATGGATGTGACCGTGGCTGCCACATTTACTGCCATCGGCCCAAGATGGAGGCTGTTCCAGAAGGAGATTGGTTCTGTGCTGTGTGTTTGGCCCAGGTAAGGTTTCTCTTTCCTACTTCTGAGTAGAAGTCCCAGATTTCCTTTCTCATCTCGTTTACCACCAATCCTACAAATATCACTTCTTACTGGGCCTTCAGTCTGGAAAGAGCTCCAGACTAGGTGCTAGGAGACCTGGGTTCCTGGCTTCTGGTCCGTCTTTGGAAAAGTGACTTAAATTCTATAGCCTCTCTTCCTCTCATATATAAAAAGAGAATGGTTATACTTTCCCTTTTACCTACCATATTGGTGAATAAATTCACATGCTGGCTTATGTATGGAAGTATTTTGGAGCCTTCTCAATCACACTTTGACATGTAGGGATTGTAATGAACTGAATGGCAAGCAGAGTACATCTCCAGGTATTGCTGTTCTCACCTTTTCCCTATCCTCAGCAGGTAGAGGGAGAATTCACTCAGAAGTCTGGTTTCCCAAAACGAGGCCAGAAGCGGAAAAGTAGTTATGTGCTAAACTTCCCAGAGGTGGATGGCCGCCGACGCCGGGTACTGTCGAGGGGCCGAGAAAGCCCAGCAGTACCTCGGCACTCAGAAGAAGGGCTGTCCCCCTCAAAGCGGCGGCGACTCTCCATGCGGAACCACCACAGTGATCTCACATTTTGCGAGTGAGTTCAATGAATTCTGGGGACAACTAGCTCTACCTTTACCGGAGTAAAGGGCTGGGAGGAGTCAGTGTATTTGCTTCCTGAGATGCAGCCACTGTCCCTTTAATGGTAGGATTATCTTGATGGAGATGGAATCCCATGATGCAGCCTGGCCTTTTCTGGAGCCTGTGAACCCACGTTTGGTAAGTGGGTACCGGCGCATCATCAAAAACCCTATGGATTTTTCCACCATGCGGGAGCGGCTGCTCCGGGGAGGGTAAGTAGACATCAGCAACATTCCTAGCTTTTCTGTTACCGCTCTAACTCCTACCCACTCACATGTTAGGCTCCATCCCTGCCCAGGTACACCAGCTCAGAGGAGTTCGCAGCTGATGCGCTCCTGGTCTTTGACAACTGCCAGACCTTCAATGAGGATGACTCTGAAGTGGGCAAGGCTGGGCACATCATGCGCCGCTTCTTCGAGAGCCGCTGGGAGGAGTTTTATCAGGGAAAACAGGCCAATCTGTGAGACAAGGGAGGTGGGGAGTCACCTGTGACATCTCCCCCTACCCTCCAAACAAAAAAACCCTGCCATTCTCACCTGCTGATGCTGCCCTGGGTCCAGACTCAAGTCAGAGATATAACCCTGATTTTTGAGCCTACCCTTGGCAGCACCTTACATCCTCTTATCCCTAACACCCCTTTCTCCTTTTCCTGCTCTCGCTGCTCAAATAAGAGGAGCAGAGATGAGGTCCTTCTGGACTAAAAGCCAAAAAAGAAAAAAAATTATTTTCCTTTCTGTTTTTTTCCTAATTAAAAATGAGAAGGAAGAAAGAAGTCCCTACTTCCTCCCCCTAGCTTCCGCTCCTTCCCTGTACGTGCCCCAGCATTCTGGGGCTATTTAACAATAGCAATAGTTTCTAGTGAATGTGTGAAACCGAGAAACACTCTGTACTGTGTGTGGACCCGCAGTGACGGCCAGTAAAGTGGACTTAACTCCCAAGTGTGTCGAGCCGGACACCGGGCCCTGAACATGCTGCTTCCATGTTCAGTCCCTCCCCTGCTTCTCACTTTCTCAATTTTTCATCTTCCCTCCCCTCCCCTTTTCCAATTTTCTGTCGTCCAATAATGTAAAACTATCGTGTACGGGTTCCTTCATCCTTTTTCCTCAAATCTTTTCCCTTCAAAGGAAAAAAAAGTTCAGAAGTCCTCGTCTTTCTCTCTGTCCTCATCTTCTGCCATTAGCTATCCCCTCTATAATGTTGGATACTCCTCATATGCTGAGTTTCTAGCCTTTTCTTAAACTCAGTAGCTGAGGAGAGGGCAGGGAGGCACCCTGGACCCTGGGACTTCCAGCCTCCTTCCCCAGCCTCTTACCCAAACCTCCCTCTTGGGAACTCCTCAGGGACAACTACTGCTGAGTTTGGGTAAACCCCAAGATGGAGGTACAGAGGCAATCGACTGGCTTCAGAGAGAAAGAATGTGTGTGTGTGCGTGTGTGTGCGTGTGTGTGCGTGTGTGTGTGTGAGTGAGAGAGAGAGAGAGAAAGAGATGGGGGTGGGGGGTGAGAGAGGATACTATAATTGTGCCCCTGTATTGTTTGATGGCATCCATTCAATTTACCCAAGTATGTTTTTATTCCCACCTTTCCCATTGTTTCAAACCATCACTTTTTTTGTCTTTGCAAAACCACAGGAACAGTTTTTCTGGGTACAAGGCTGTCTCTCTCCTCTCTCTCCCAGTC